ATATCTGGTTTTCTCCACAAAATAATTTTAACTAAACAGCATTTATTAAAAAAATCTAGCTTCTCTATTATGGAATAAGAATATCTGTTTTAAAGGTAGGTTAATATATTGTAACAAAAATATCATCTAATTTTGTAATTTTAAGGTTAGAAAAATTTATTTTGACCAAAATAAATAAGTATTTTGGATTATTTAAAAGACTGTATAATATGGTATTTAAAAATGTGGTAGTTTTTCTTATCCAGCTTAAAGTGTACCTACATAAAGTTTTGTCAATACAAATAGTTAAAAAGCTTCGACTGAATTTGATCTACACCGAAAAATCATTATAACTTTAAAAATTTTAATAAATCACATGTCATGGGAGTATTAAATATTTTCACATTGCAAGTTTCTCTAAAAATTGTTTGTTTTCTTAACTTAAAGTAGGTATGCCGAGAGGTATGCACAAGTTTTGTCATTAGAAGTGTAAAAGCTTCAATTTAATTTGAACCATATTCAACAATTATTTAGTATACCTATATTTATTTATGACCATATTAACACACTCTTCCAAATAATCCACTTATTTATTTTGGTCAAAATAGATTTTTCTAACCTTAAAATACAAAATTAGATAATATTTTGTTCTAATACATTAACCTACCTTTGATACAGATATTCTTATTTCATAATATAGAAGTCAGATTTTTTTAATAAATGCTGTTTCGTTAAAACTATAGTTTAATATATTTTATGGAGAAATGTAGACCCAATGTACAAAAATATCACTTATATTGCACCTTACACTTTGGAATTTCATTAAATGCAGTTTTTATATTCCTAAATTCTTAAACCAACTATTGTTATTGTGATACTACTATAAAGATTTATTAACTTTTAACTCTTAAACATAAGCGGTAACACTATAAATATTATTTCTTTAGTTGACTATTCTTTGACAGATACATAACCTGAAAAGCCTTAAATGCCAAATTTTCAAAAGACTGCGTTCCGTACGTGGTCACGTGGTGGGACTTTGAGGTGTGGAGCATAGTACAGTCGAGTGCAATAAGTCAGTACCAAGGCAATTCAAAAATCGCTTGCGATGCTCAGTCATAGCTCCGCCTACTCTAGTATCTTAACCACTTAATTTATTCTGTCTTAACCAAGGTCACACGTTTTTGCATGAGGAAGGGCAAAATATATCGAAAATATTTCGGTAAGAAAGATAAATTAAAAGGAAATACCCTAAAACGGGGCGACTTGAAACTCTTTGCAGCGCTTGACCAAAATACAGGCTACTATCTAGGGGTTAAAAATTGAATATCAAAATATAGCTATAAAATATAACACCAAGCATGCTAGTTAGATTAATTTATATCTGTTGATTTTATTGTGCACCTACATAAAAAAAATTAATTTTTTAACACACTTTCTTTTATACAGAGATTCCTAAAAAGGCTTTAATAATGACATATTTTTTCCTGGACAGTAATTTAGTAGGCATTCATATTCTGACGGTTAGAATCTAATCCCAAAATTGTATATTCATGTCAAATTTATTAGTGGCGTTTTATTTTATTTTTTTTATTTCAGGGGCGACTTAACATATAAAAGAAAGCCAGGGTCGAAACTTAAGAGACTCAAGTGAAGAATATAAAATTGCGTTTAAACTTTATATAGAAAAAATAAAGGGAAGCACACAAAATTATTTGTTGGTCAAACCGAACAGTAAACTGTTTTTCTTAAAAAAAACAATTTTTCTTAAAAAAAAACGATTTTCGTAGCAGGATATATAAAATATGATATTCTATCTTTCAAGTCGCCCCAATATTTTTCTACACTGAAAGAAATATATGTTTGTTTTAGCAATGTATGTGGTAGTCCATATATGAAACATAAAATATATTTACCTTAACCATTTTTATATTTGCCTTAACCATATTATGTTAAAACTAAATATAAAAATGGTTAAGGTAAATATATTTTATGTGGTAGTCCACATACATTGCTAAAACAAACATATATTTCTTTCAGTGTACAAATACAATGTTAATGCGCCCCAGCCTGGGACGACTTAAAGAAACACCCGTTATATATTTTTTCTTGAGAGTAGAGGGGGGTATAATTTTTTAGGTATTTCACCCGGTAGCCACTACCCCAAAGTAATCTAAAATATTATTTTATTTCAATCAAATCGTCATAGTGATGGCGGGCGGCGTGTGCTCAAATATTCCAAAAAGTGTATCAAGTCGCCCCGTTTTATGGTACTAAATTAATTATTCCATTATTTTTTAATTTATTATTTATAAATATTTTATTCAATTTTTTTATATTTTTTAACGCTTATATTTTTTAATTTTTTAGAGGTGCGTAGGTGGGTAGCAAATTTTAGATAATATCTATATTATTATATTGCGAATAAGTTTATTGACACTTGTTTAATAAAAATTAGTAGTATTTTATGCCAAAAAGCCTATGTTTAACTTTAAAAAAGTCTAAATTATGTATTATATCTATTGGTATTGATAAAATTTAAAAAAAATATTATTACAAAAATAACGTCAAAACTCATCAAAATAAATATGAAACAATAAATCTTATACCGGTTCAGGTAAGAAATACCCAAATAAGTTTGTTTACGTTAAGGCAATAATTTTCACCCCTCCACCTCGCAATGGCTGCAAGCGAATATAAGCCATAGGGTGGTACTGATTCAATGCACTTGACTGTACATTTATTCAACTTTTATATTTTTAGTTTATTTTATTCACCATTTCGGCCCTTGCCTTCGCTGCTCCAGCTCCAGCTCCAGAACCCAAAGCTGATCCAGCTTTGTTGACTACACCTTCATTAACTACCGGATATGCCGCCGGTTGGCCATCGACTTATTTCGACTTGGGGTACTCGGATTACCGATTTACTCCCATGGAATTTATGGAATTTGCGTGTAGGTTTTTTCCATCTTGGTGTGTTGATCAGTCAAATATGAATATGAATACGACTATGAAACCCAACTTACCCATCATTTGTGGGAACTATACTATTTGTTAACATTTATACTCACCTTACACATACTTTTTACGTGCTTCTTACATTTTGTTAATTGAATAATAAAGTATATTTTAAATACCTACATAAATATTATATTTTATTTTCAAAAATGAAATGGTATACCATATATAAATATATTTGTGAGTTGTGTGTAAAACCGTGGGCTTAAGTATCGTTAAGTTTTAAAAGAATTAATAACTGTAATAATAATAAAAATTAATTGTCCAAATATTTAAAGTAAAAAAAAACAATTAGTAATATTGCAATTACTAAACAATACTAGCATAGCACACAGTGGCGGCTGGTGGATTTTGGGTATAACGATATCTCAATCATTAGATATGGGACCCACACCAAATTTATATGAATTTATAATTACTTTAAATAAACAAGTTCTGCGCAAGCAGAATTTAATTTGAAGTTTGCGAAAAAAATATAAATTTTTGCTCGGCCGTACCGGCCCCATGGCGCACCCAATAAATATAATATAAATTTAATTGGTGCAATTTATTATTTACCATAATTTATCGACAAATTTCAAATTTCATTTAAAAAATCCAAATTATACCGATTTTATACCATACCATTTATACCATACCAAGTTTTTAAGTACCCACGATTTTTTAACTAATATTTAAGTTTACTTTGGTTTAAGTTTTATACATTATTTCATTCGGTGATAATTATCAATTGCGCACCATGGTCACTTTTTACCTGCCAGCATTAAATCCTTTAATTTAAAGGATTATTGTACTATTTTTAATAAAAATACCTCATTTAAGGTAAAAAACATTATTTTGTCAATTGATTAATTTAATCCTAATTGAGGTATAAAAAATAACTAATAATTATTATTAAGGTATAAAGAAACTATTTATAGTTTAGCATTATTTAATCAATTTAGTTCGAAGATTAATTTGCAAACAAAAATACCTCCTTTTGTTAAGCAGTTATTCATAATGGACTTTTTAACAGTGGAAGAAAAAATAGAAATGATTTTGATTTATGGAGAAGCAGGCAGGAATCTTGATGATGCTGTTAATATCTACGCTCAGCGTTTTCCGGATAAAATTCGATCAAGTACTTCATTTCACCGTACAGCCAAGCAGTTTACTACAAACGGGAGTGTTCAACCGAAAAAAAGAGTTCGTCGAGCAACAGTCACAGGTGGAAATAATGAAATTAATGTATTAGCAGCAACGGCCGCTAATCCTCATGCAAGCACACGAGAATTATCTAGAGATTTGGGAATATCCCAGAGCAGTGTTAGCAGAATATTAAAACGATATGCGAATTAATAAATGCATTGAAGTCGAAGGCCACCATTTTGATTAAAATTTAAAAAATATTAAATTTAAAAAATAAAATATATATATAATATTTTATTTAAAAATTATTGGAGAATCGTATACAGAAGAAAAATAGAACAAAATTGATTTTTTTTCATATTGAGAAGAGTATGAAGACCAATTTTACTACTGATTGATTTCCCCCCTCAAATCATTTAATTTTTATTTTAAACATTTTTTCGTAAAATGCATACGAACTGAGATATTTCCAAGTTTCAAGTTAAATTACTCTCCCTGTATATATAGGTATACCTATAAATCCACTTAAAACTTAACGGCAATTAATTTAACATGTTTAGAAAACAGAAATTATCCAGGGATTTCAACATTGTATGCAAATACAAAAGCTAAGAACGCCACTGCTTTTAATTAATGCAGGACTAATTATTTCGCACGTTGTATGTATTATTAATAACCCATTAAATCTAAGGACGAGGTGACTCATAAATAATGTTACAATAAAATACTGCAAAGCATGTCATTTTTTATTTTTTGTTTAAAATTTATTGGTCGCTTTACAACATTATGTTTATGTCTGTATAATTAAAAATACAAGGTTAAAATTGAAAGAAGTGAGGTTAAAAACGTCTGACATGTCAGACAAATAAACACAAAATAAAATTAACTTCCACATTTAAAAAAAAAAAATAAAATGTAATATTATTAATCTATCTAAACAAGTTCACAACATGTTTCATTATGTCCACATCCTTTTCGTCCTTTTCGTAGATTATTTGGACATAAAGCCTCCTTCATGCACTCGTTATGAGTTTGATGACAATTCAGGTCACCCATGTCTGAAAATTAATTTATGTATATTTCTACTTTTTGCATTCAAATCCGGTCTGTACTAAGCAAATTTTCAAGCAATTAGGTGAAAAATACGCCGGATGGTGTTAAATTTAAGGGTTAAATTAATTTAATTACAATTCTGGCAGCAAACGGCTCCCATACTCTTCTGTTGAGGACAAGCGATATCCAGTTCTTCACTCATGTACGTTTGTGGACATTCGGATTTCAATAGACATACGCCATTTTTTCTGGCACAGGATTCTTCTAAATAAAAATTGGATTCTAAAAAAAAAATTAAATCCTTAAAAAACGGTTTTTTAAAGGCAGTATTACAGCCGGCAATTCTTCTTGCAGCAATTTTTCTTGCAGCAATTATTCTTGCCATCAAGTTTTCAAGGCTGTATTGCATGTTGTTTTACAGTCAGCAACAGCAAAACAACTTGCTGTTTATTACCGTGCTACCAACCGAAGAAAAATATACGATTTTGTAAACACTAAGTTTATTTGTTATTTAGTAGAGATATTTAAAAATTAATGAGTAAAATGGATACTAGAACTTTGAACAAAATGCCAATCATAAAACAAATAACCTTTAACTGTTTAAGTCAAACAGCGTCTCTTTAGGGAATTTGTAGTAGGGTTGGTAACATAAAAGTTACCAGATTTCACCCCAGAATTGCCGTGCAATTGCAAGAGATTCGTCGAAATGTCTCAACCGCGCATGCCTATGGCAATTTTTATTGCTATTGCCGAAAGAATTGCCGGCTGTAATACGGCCTTAATATACAGGTAGTTTTACATTCGTGGTCCATTAGAAGATTCTGGGCAACGAAAAAATATATCAATTTTAAATTTTTAAAGCGATTATAATTAAATTAAGTCCATTTTTCTAAACTATATTGAACAAAATGACGCTTCCGGTTTAACCGGAAGTGGCATCAAATAGAACAAACCATATATTTTTACATTTTTAAACTCTGTATATAATTCCAAGTAAAAATACCATACCAGCAAAAAAGTTATAGGTTATTTTTTATTGACGTGCATTTCTCAAATTTTAACGAAAAAAATTAATAAATTAAAAACTATTCACTAGGATATGGTTTAGTAATTTTACTCATAATTTTATGTAGAATTTAAAAATAAACATATATGGTGTGTTCTATTTTAAATAACAAAGTTTATGTTACTTACCGGTTAAACCAGATGCATCTGGTTTCACATGTGAAATTTTGTTCAAAATATTTTAGAAAAATAGACTTTAATTTAATTTCAAATCGATATATTTTTTTGTTCCCCAGAAATTTCTAATGGGCCACTTATGTAATACAATATATGTAGGTATGTATATATTGTATAACCTATATTAAAATATAAATAAGTAGATTAAAATGAAGTAGTTACTTAATAATATTTTTTTTTACAAAAAAGACAGTTGACATATTTTTATGATGTTTTTATGTAAACATTTTTATATGCACCCTGTACAGAGCTTTTTTTGTCCCTAAACTTTGGAAATATTTAGAAAAAAACATTTTCGGGGACGGACTTTTAACTATGTATAAATTACCATTTTTTTATTACTATTTTAAATTCTACCGCCTGATAAATTTTTCGACAACTTTTCGTTAAAACCCTGCCTACAGGGTGTCATCTAATAAGTTGTCATCCTTCTGAGGGGATGCCAGTTTACGCTAAACTAACTAAAGTTTTTTCACTTTTTCATTAATACTACTGTTTTTTAATGAAAATATTATGATATCGATCATCGACAGCAGTGCCAAAAAGAACCGCAGTTAAACAACTGGCCGACTTTACTTGGTCTGTCGACCGCAACCGCTTACACGTTAGGTAGGTCATGGTTTAAACGAATCCAGTGTCGTGCCAAACAAAACAATTATGCAAGAGTGATAAAGGAAAAACTTGCTTACTTTGACATGAACTATTAACAAGACACCCTTTAGTCGGTTTATAAATATTATTTTTGCAATTTTTAATCTGTACAATTTACTTTAATGTGTTTATATGATAAACTATAAGTACGGCTTTTACTGTCATTGTGATAAAGCACATTAGTTAAAAAAAAGTTAATTTATTTTGCATTACTTAAAGTGCTTGTATTTGAACTATAATTAAAACAATTTTTTTTATTGATAAGAAGTGGGGTTATTAAGGGTTTAAGATAAATGTGCATAATGTGGTGGGGGAAATGGTGGGGGCAAAAAATTTAAAAAACTTATTTATTTATTACTTAAACTTTGATAAAAATATTTTAATTTTACGCCACTTGAAATAGGAGTGATTAAGAGAAAAAAATAACTGTCTTTATCAACTCACCAAGTGAATATATTTTTTGATGTTTTTTGTATTATTCAATTTATTATTCATTCATTATTTAATAAAATATTAGTTAAGTTTTATAAATATTTTCCTATTTTTTAAATTAATCAGTTTTTTATAAACATGTGATTGATTGAGTGACAGTTTTCTGAAAAAGTTTAATAAAATAGCGATGAAAGCAAATTTGTGTTGGCGTACTTTTGCATAATTCTGCTATCTAAACGTGGTAAATATACATGGTTTCACATTCGTGTTTCAATAGAAGTTTCTAGGGAACTAAAAAAGATACTAATTTGAAATTTTAAATGCGTTTATAATACTATACCTACAGACTGTAGGCTACAGTGAATATTTTTCGAGTTTTTAGGTTTGCAAATATTTTTGGAGTCTTAAAACATTGTTTAAAATATTCTTTGTCAATCCTTTAACATTTACCATTTAACAAATGACCTGAGAAAACCCATGGCAAATGAGGCCTACTTAAAAAGTTAAAATATTAACATATTTTTACATATTTTAATACAAAATCAAATAGTAAATTAAAAACATTTTGATTGATGTTATTCCCTATACATAACGTTTATAATTTAAGTGATATTTAACAATTTATAAAATTTTAATCATTATTTTGTATCAAGTAACCTGAAAATTTAATGGCGTAGGTAAATTTTTCAGGTTGTCATAACTCTAACAATTTAATAAACAAACAACAACAATATGTATATAAAAGTTAGAATTAAGAAAATTTAATGCTTTTAATACCGTTTAGTAATAAAAATTGTTATGTAAAATATTGTTGTTTTATTAAATGATAAAGTTACGCATTATTTTTGTTAATAAGTTAGTGCTTTACCTAGTTGACATCCTAGAGCTTTGTTAAGTTTTTTCAAATTAGCATATATTGTTTGTATAACTTTTATATTTTTTGAATTTTTGCCTTGTTAATGTTTTTTATAAGTCACTGACTGCTATTTTTATTAGTAATACAAAACACTTAATTTATTAATATTAATTAGTCAACAAACTGTTTACAACAACCTGTAAATTTAACGCCATTTAATTAAACAATGACAGATTACGTGGTAACCATAGATAGGTACCATCAACTCACCCGTCACAGGTTTCTTGATACAAAATATATTTAAAATTTTAGAAATTGTTAAATAGGGTAAAGAAGACAGTTATCGGACACTTTATAGTTATTGGACAATAATAACATTAATACTGTATACAGTATACAGTATACAATATTATAATATTAAGAGTTACCTTAAAATCAAATCATTAGATAACGCTGTATAAAATTATAACTATCTCAGTCGGTAATCATATAGAAACAATTTATTTTGGGTCCAATATAGGACAAAAAAGTTCGCACGTTACTTTGGTGGTAAGATTTTTGTTTTTTTGTTAACAGTAAGGCTGTACAGTGTACACTTTTTAGACATATTTTTATTGTAATTTAAACACTGTACACTGTACAGATCAGTGTGTGGTATAAATGTGTTCCTCATGGTTTAAACATTGTAACTTTAATGCGTTTTAATTTTAATTCTGAAAACCAACAGTAAAATGGCCAGTGTCCAATTACTGGTTGGTAAAAAATGTAAATTTCTATTTCTAATTGTCACCTGAATCCGATAATACCGTCAAAACTATAAAAGTTAAGCAGTTTTTGAGATTATATTTCAAAAACTGTTCTACTTTTATAACTTTTGACGACATTTCCGGATTCAGCGAATAATATTTTATAGGAATTGACTGCTAAATATCCTGGATACAAATTGCTGTTGACGAGAATTATTAGTGGCTGCTTTTTCACTATGACATTTTTGACTAATTCATTTTTAGATAGTAAGTAATATAGTGATTTCTTCGTCATAGGACATTTTGCAGACTATTTCCCTCGTCTTAATTTCCACCAATCACAAAGGCGCAATTTTAAATTACAAATGGTTTCTAGGTGAAAAAACTGTGTGACAGCACCTGTCAGCAGTTTATTCGAGTTTACCCGCGGCAAAACTTGACAGCTGTTCCTGTTACCAAAAATTGCAATTTATATTTTAATTGTTAACTATTACTCATGAAATAGTCTTGTCAAATACCATTCGGGCATCTAATTTTTCCTGTGAAAAAAAATCGAAAAAACACAATGCTAAGTAATATTTTTTAACAAAATGCATTCGTGCAGGTGCAAAAATCCTCCTCTTCGACTCGGATTTTTGTTGCCACCAGCACTCATGCTTTTTGTTAAAATATTACTTAGCAACGTGTTTTTTCGATTCTTTTCGGAAAAATTAAATGCCCTTATGATATTACTTACGAATAATAGTGATTTAAATACAGTGCATGATAGAGAACATAAAAAGCTAATGGCCACAAAATTAATAAATTTGGAAGAAAATACTTTTAACATACCACCCGAAAAAAATATTAAATATATATTTAAATCATCCTGTTTCGGCTTCACAAACTAGAGATACCACACTTAATGATATTTGCAACAAACTATTTCAGAAGTCAGACCAAGGAATTAGTAGTTACCTCAGAATCCAGAAGAGGGATGAGGAATCCGAGAAAGAAATGAATTAGGTATATGATATTTACAAAAACAAAAAAATTACCTAAAACAGCAATTTATCTTTAAAAAATATTTAACACATTATGTTATTTGCTGTAAAGTTGTTACGTTTATATAAAAATTGTATGTCCAATAACTATATGCAATTACTATATACAATGTCCAATTACCATATTTTTTTGCATGTTTTTATAAAACTATTATTAAAAATTCAAAAATTCTTATTTTTAAGTAAACGTAAATAAAGTTTAAACAAACACTAAACTATCCTTTTTATTTATTTATAAGAAAAAAACTAAAATCTTTAAAACAACGGCATATATAAATTTTATATAATTTTGTATAGGAAATAGTTAAATCAATCAAAACGTTTTTTAATTTACTATTTAATTATGTAAAAACATAACAGGTGTTACATTTTTATATATTTGTATATACAATTAATATTGAAAAAAATACGCACCTACCCAAAATAAATAAATTATAATATTTATTATTTCAGCATATTTATTTTCCTCTATTGTAAAATGTATTGAATATTTTTTTTTTAATTTAGGCTTCCAATATCAATATTAACCTGGCCCACACGGCAGTCAAAGTTTTCGATGTATTTTTTTAATCAAACTTTGAAACTTTGCCACAGTTATTTGATTATTTGAAATGCGAATAATATTAATTTTATGAAATATGTTTTCCAACGTTTGCTTTAAAATAATTAAAAACCCGATAGATTATACCCTTAAGTTTCATATATAAAAATGTTTATTTACGATTAACCTATTTTATAGTAAAACGTAAAAAACCATATTATATTTACCATAACGAAAATCTTTTGTAGTAAATATTATTGTTTAGAATAATGCATTATTGGAATAATGATTATGACAAAATTTATTGTGTATGTCAACATTTTTTAAAAGTCTCTATTTATAAAAAAAATACCTACGTTTATTTTACTAAATTATTCAATAATTTATTTTTAAAACGCATTAAACTAACAATAACTTTCAAATTAGACCATTCTAAAAAATTACCATACAACCAAAAATGTTAGTTAAAAACTAACTCCAACAAAAAAGAATTAAAAAATCAAAACACATAGATTAATAATTAAACAATTCACGGTGCTGTTCTGAGAGGTGATTTTTGGACTTTCTGTGAAACCTAATTTTTTTTTATATTCTTGTTAATTAGGTCATAACTAAAATTTTAAGAGCAAAATAAAAAAAATTTGACGGTTTGAATTGTTTTAATTGGCTGTTTATTAAAAATATTATGCACTCTTTCAATTATCCAATTAAAACTAGCGATTTAATTTAAATATTTAATATTTGCATCACTAAAAAAAAGGTTTTTACAATTTTTTTTATATATTTTACTGTTTTGTTGCAATAAACGTTCAAACTTTTAATCTAACCTTTGACGTATACATTTATGTTCCCTTAATTAATATATCCTTAAAGGTTGCCATGAAACTTAGATTTATTAAAAATTTATTTGACGTTTGAATTGTCATTTTCAGTATACGTATTCTATAATTTTTGTTTAGTTTTTTAAAGTGTTTTTTATAAACAAAAATGAAAAATTGTAGTAAAAGTTACGAAGAAATTCATGAAATTTAACCAAGGACCGGTTTATTCATCTTTAGTAAAATTTATCGGGCCGATAACTTTCATGTCTTGGCAATATCTAGTATCCAAAGAAATTATTCGTTAAATAAATCAAAAATGAATAAATCGGCCCTAAATAAAATGTGGCACCCTTAGAATTATTGTTTAATAAATGTATACTATACATTTAACCTTAAATTAAAACTTTAAACGTGTGTTCAACAAAACAGTAAAAGATATAAAAAATGTATAGACCTTTTTTTAGGAAATTAACTAATCTTCAATCTGATTTAAAAAGTTATGATAATATTTAAATAAAATCGCAAGTTTTAATTGGAGAATTGAAAGTGTGCATACATATTTTTAATAAACATCCAATTAAAACAAAATTAACCGTCAATTTTTTTTATTTTGCTCTTAAAATTTTAGTTATGACCTAATTAACAAGAATATAAAAAAAATTAGGTTTCACAGAAAGTCCAAAAATCACCTCTCAAAACAGCACCGTGAATTACTCAAACTAATAATTTGTTACTTACCTAAATCAGTTAAGATTCCCACAAAAAGCACCGCAAGCACCACACCTTTACAAAACATGATTACTGCGATCCACTTTTTACACTATAAAAATAATTGTGTATTACTTCTGAGATAAACAAGCCGGTAAAATAATTTTACGTATGTTAATATAAAGCGGTTAATCAGCGCGATTGCGCTCGAAAATGCGGACGACTATCAAAAACTAACCAGTTAAAAATACCAGAAATAATAAAAAAGTGAAAGTAATATGCGAACTTATCAGAGTTGGCAAAGTGTTAATATATTTTAATACAAAGTGGGTACCGAATTTTAAGTAGGCTAGTTGTAATAATTGTTTTTACGCAGGACCGTATTGTGACAAGTTTTTAATGCGATTCTATTAATAAAATCAGTTATACAGGGTGTCTATTTATTGATTTTTTATATGATAATATTAATAATTATAAAAATAATAATCTTTATTGCCCAACAGGATTCTCCCATTTACAGGACAATGGTATAAATATATATAACAAATAAATCATATACCGGGTGTATCAGAATAGGCGCACAAAATGAAGTTGTAACAATTTAGCATCCAAAGGTGTAGATATTTTTTTATAGACTTTAATGTCATCTGCATAGGCCAAAGTAAGACAAGAGAGTGGCAGTGAGCATTTAATTTAAAAAGCTAAAAATTGCGTTTTGATTATGGTTAACAATTTGTTGTTTTGCTTTTCGAGTTTATTATGCTTTTGTTAGAAATATTTTGTTTCATGGGTTGCTTAGTGAAAGTCATTCTTGTGGTCAAATAAATTTCCCAACAAATCCTAAAAACGGTTTTGGAAAATATTTGAATATAACTATTATTTAGTTTTATTGCAAAAATAAGTTTTAAAGCCAAAAAATATCGTTTTTGTAAAAACAAAAGCACAAATGAAAAATATTTATTTGAAAAATAAATTTATTACGTTGTCCATTTTGGGCAGTAACATCCTGTATACATAAATACATAAATAAATAAATATTTATTGTTTTCTAGAAACAATTTCGTAATAATAAATAAAAACAAAATAATGAGGATAATTAAAAATATTGTTTATTGTATTTAAACTAGCTCCTTGGGAAAATCCGTTTTATTTTATTTTAAATGGCTTGATTATTAAATGTTTAAGCATAAAATATATAGGTGAATTATAAATAATTACCATTTTAATATTTAATATTTAGACGTTTAAATGAAATCAAAAATTAGGGTTTGAAAATAAGAAATTTATTTTTTTCTTATAATGTTACTTTTTTTCAAAATTTAAAAAAGGTTATATTCATGTTTTGTATGCTCTAAGAAATTTTAATTTAAAGTACATAAAACATGGATCTACACAGTAAAAAATTTATATGTATATTTAACATATTTCTTGTGTCCCAGAAAGCCCACTAAATTTTTTTAGTTTTTTTATATTTTTATTACCTACTTATGTTAATTTTTAACACAACAGAATGTGTAAAAGAAAATTAATTTATAACTGCAAGTTAATTAAAAAAATCGTGTTTTTAAATTTTACTTTTTTTAAATTGACGCGTTTCTCGGAAAAACATCATTAGTCCAAAATTAACATATTTGGGAAAATGAAAAAAACTCCGACATTCCCATTTTTTACCAAAGTACTTTATTGACCTATTTACTACATGTAAAAAAATGTAAGATACTTTGTCCAGAATTCCTCATGTTTTTTGTTTCGACGAATATGAAAAAAACACAAAAAATACATGAACATGTGAGGTTTTTAGAAGAAAAAAACGAACAATTCTCCTTACTACAAACACTACAAACAAAATATTAACTCTGAGTAACAAAATAAATGAAAAAACTAAAAACTGTATTACTGCCACACTCAGTCTTCGCATCCACTGCTGTTATCATCGTTGTCGAACGTGTTATTAGGACTCTCAGGTGCTATGGTCTTCTGGTCTTTTATCAAGTTATCATAAAATTTTCTATTGCTGTGGTCATGTAAAAGAGGTAGAAGCTTTTCTAGAGTGTCCAAAAACGTCACATGTTATGCACATGTGACTATCTTAGACGAAACGGAGTGGACTTGTGATGTTTTTAGAAGAACAAGCTATTATGGAACCTATGACATTTTTACGAGAAACACTTATTTGTATACGTATATATGGAGGTTAGGAAACAGTTGGTGCTAATATCTAAATTTCGACGATATTGGACTAATGATGTTTTTCCGAGAAACGCCTCAATTGTTATTTTAACCTAAACGTGTACAACTACGGTTGTATCAATTTCATAAAAAAACAACTGATTTCTGCATTTACTTATTAATACGGTTCTGTCCACATAATTGTCTGGGGTAAAATTCCAACGTCGATAAAACAAAGTCGAGCCGAATTAGCTGTCATAAAGTGCCCTCAAAATGATGTGAGTGACGGATAATTATTTCAGAAATAAATAGTAGTCAATTGCATTATATTTTACAATTGCCCAATTAAATATTGCTACAAAATATTTTAATTCAATCAAATCCTGACGTCACGACAATAGTGTTTGAGTAAACTGAATTAGCGTTGACGTCATTAAATCGATTTGTTTGTAATTGTTGATACTACACCTAGACCGAATAACATTTGCATTATTGATACGTCACTCCTACACTACGATCGAAAAAGCATACATAAAAAAGCAGGTCGTCTGCTACTAACCTATCGCAATACTATTAATAGAGCAATAGTTAATAGTTAATAAACTTTTAATACCTATAAGTTGTAATCGATTTTGGTAAAACCAATAATGAAGAAGGTAGCCTTCTTATTTTTATTTAGTATTGGTAGATTCAAGAGATTTATTTTCCCAATATGGGCGCCTTTTTTTTATTCAGGAATTAATTTTGTGTTAACGCTAGAGTGATATTTTCAAGCTATGACACCCATGTTCAGGCCCGGCTCCAGACATTGCGGTACCCCGTGCAAAATTTTTTTGCCGCCCCTCATAGTTACCTACTTTTTAGTGCCTATTAATAAGGTATAATTTCTAAAAAAAAACTATAGTACCTATAACTATAGGTATACCTAAATAATATCGTCCCCTTGATGCTACAATTATATACACTGTTCAAAATTGCATGACCATTTTAACACCAAATTAACACCATACATGGTCTATATCGATACAAACCAAAATGGTGTTAAATATGGTTCGTTGGTCCAGTGTAATTTCAAATACTAAAATAGTGTAAATTGAACTCCTTTTCAGTGTTAAATATTATGTGTTCTTGGTCAAATTAAATCATACTAGGGGTAAACTGTACTTCTCAGTAGTTTGAAAGGATAAAATATTTTTAGATAAACACCGTTTTGGTGTTTGCTGTATATAACATTTTCAAACATAATTCATGGTGTTTATATTAACACCACTTGGTGTTGGATTTAGACACCATATTTAGATTACCCTTTACACCACAGATTTTTAAACAGTGTAATATCGTCCCCTTGATACTACAATTAGATATCTGGAAAAACACATTTATAAATAAAAGTATTCTAAAATTGGTACCTATGTAAGTATTTAGTAGAACTGGATTCGTAAATTTTCTATTTATCCAGTTGTAGCATTATTTATGAGAATTATTTATTTGTTAATTATTATTTTTTATTAAAAGGGTGCATGCTGTGATATTATATTAATTTTGTATAAAATGTGCATAAATACCTACCTTAAAACACACACAAAAAGGCCAGCACAATATAAATACCACAACCACAGGGAACAAAATGTCCTCGAAAATGTCTATTTCTTTAAATTATTAATTTTCAAATATGAGAATTTTTTCAAATATGAGAATTATTTATTTGTTAATTATTATTTTTTATTAAAAGGGTGCATGCTGTGATATTATATTAATTTTGTATAAAATGTGCATAAATACCTACCTTAAAACACACACAAAAAGCCCAGCACAATATAAATACCACAACCACAGGGAACAAAATGTCCTCAAAAATGTCTATTTCTTTCAAATTATTAATTTTCAAATGGGTAGTGTACAATTGCACAAAGAAGTTAAATATCAACTAAAATAATTTATAAGTTTGCCTTAAAACAAAGCGAAATCCTGATAAATCAAAAGAAATCGCACATTGCGGCGCGTGCCATTGATCCTTTGTGGGCTATATTATAAAGAAAGCCGCTTTATTATTTAAAAATGGGAAATAATAGTACGATAACTTTTTGCCGCCTTTCGATTTTTGACGCCCTGTGGGCTATATTATAAAGAAAGCCGCTTTATTATTTAAAAATGGGAAATAATAGTACGATAACTTTTTGCCGCCTTTCGATTTTTGACGCCCTTCGAATTTTGCCGCCATTCGATTTGTGCACCTCTTTAATTTTTGCCGCCCTTAGATTTTTGCCGCCCCGTGCAGGGGCACGGCTGCACGTACCCTGGAGCCGGCCCTGCCCATGTTTAACAGATATATACAAAAAAAGTATATACAAAAGTGCTCTTTTAGTTCCACCCTTACTTCTTAAGAAGTCCCATAAGCCAACTGAATGGTTCGTGTTAATTTTATGTCTTTGGATTATTTTAATTCCAGTTAGGTATTATTTCCAAGTTGTACTCTACAATATTATAATTAAGTGTTAGTTTAATATCAAGTCAGAGAAAGCAAAGATAATAAGATAAATAATATGCTGGAAAGAGACGGGGATAGAAAGTAAAGATTAGAAAAGTTACAATTAAGTTTTGGCCACTATACCTCCACGTTATAGTAACGTAATCACAACGTGGTATTAACGTGTCTTTATACAATTCAAGAACGATACTGACACTAAAAAAGTGTTCCCCATTTTAGTCACTACCGTTTCTACCACGTGGCAGAGATTTTGGCAATATACTTTACAGTTCCAAGTATAAGTGGCCAACACGTTTTAACCACTATAAATGCTACTTGGGAATATCATTTTAAAATTATATTTAATTTTTATGCCAAATTGAAATTTTTAATTTAATGAATTTAAAATATCCGTTTCTTATATTTAGGTATATTTTTTTCATGCCAAACTGTTATTTTTTATTTAGTTAATGTAAAATATTTTCTCTTTATATTTGTATTTTTTTGCTACATATTTTTACAGGGGGCGCTGGTGATAATTTAATTTAATTTAAAATTTAACAATTTTTCTCGATTTTTATGTAAGAAAGTCATATTCTC